GAGTTGACGTCGAAATCAAAACATCTCGAAGAGTCGTATATTAGACTTCTCCTGCGATGCTGTTACGTTGGAAGGTGTCGTGGGGAAATCGACTCAGGCTGTCAAGAGAAAATTAGTGGCGTGAGTTTATGTCATTCGCCGAACGACATAGAAGGGCACCAGGTGGATAGGAAGCTGCCAGCGGTGGGGCGCGCACCTAGAACAGGTGTCTGTGCGCTCTGAGATGCGAAAGATAGAGAAAAATGAATCAAAAAAAAATGCTGATGTGATGCAGAACGGGGGGATAGCAATTTCTCTATCACTGGCCCTGAAGTCCGTGCTCCTGCCATTGCCATTCCTCCCTGAGATCTTTTGAAAACATGATGGACATAATCAGCTACGCAGATTTTATGTGTTGTGCATAGTGAGCATGCTGCAGCGTGACAAGATTAAAGAAGAAGGATCGAGCGGAGATGCGCACATGGAAGGTTCTGGAGGAGCATTCGAGTTAAGAAGGGCGCGGTTGCATCAGAGAATGGAGTGATGGCAGAGCAGACTAAATGTGTTCATACGGTGGATGATGATTGCATTGCTGTCCCGACGGCAAAGTGCTTTTGGTTTTCTGACATTCGAGCGGTTCCACCCACTAAATGGTGAGCAGTTTACCATATAACTCAAAAGAAAAGCTGCATGACAGGACCAATTTATTATCGGTTCGGCAAGACGAGTGGGGAATAGTCTACGGCGATGTTCACAAGAACGACACAGGCATCCCATCCTGGGTTAAGCTCAAAGTTACACGGAAGACAGACATTCTTTGTGATAGATTCTGAGCGAGGCTCTCACCGTCCATGCGCACTTCGGTGTTGCCGGCCACAGCATCCGCACCAAGGTGAACGGATAAGGCATATGTGATATTTCTAGGGCGGGCATATCGATGTGAATGGCAGGGAATCAGGCCTTCGGGATCATGACACCCGTGAAGGAGGATCGAGTAGTGTCACGGCATGATCGACGGCCGGGATTCGAAAGGATGTCGATGGGCCGTCATGAACGCTATTGGAGACTACACACCATTCATGTGATGATGAGAATCGCGACACTTAGTCATGGAAGAGAATTGAGCAGTGTCACGGCGTAATCAACGACCCGAATCCAGGTGGACAGGCGGTCGTACACTGGGCCTTCGTGACTGCTTTCGGAGACTACCGAACAATCGGAATTTGCTATGGGAGTTCTGCTAAGCACCAGGACATGTCCAACGGTGTGGATCGCAGGGAATCATAACCGCGACGTTTAGTCATGAAGGAGAGTCTGTCAGTGTCATAGCCCAGTGTGAAGAACGAACCGCATTCGGATGGTCGGGCGGTTCTACTGGGCCGTTATGAATGGCGTTGGAGACCACACAAGTAGCGCCTATCCATGGTTGAGAGAATACGTACAACTTCGTGTCGGCGCAAGTTCTAGTTGAGGCCGTGGAGTGGTTGCCATGATGTTCGCAATCTTCCAACACAGCTTTTGAAGAAAAGATCAGGAGTTGCACGCATGTCCTGGCAGTGCGCGCGGCTCGCCGACGCGCTCGAGCTCGAAAGCAGCCGAGCTTATAAATG